TTTTTATTATTTTAGGAGCATTATAAAATAGTTATGTTTTTTAAAAGAAAAAAAAAAAACTACTATTGTTATAAATAATACATTCAATTGAACTGTACTTTGCATGCCTATTTAAATATATTTACACATGGCTTGTGTATATCGTATATATACATATATATTATTCATACTTTCGGTGTATAGGACGCAAGCAGATTTTGACATCAAATTTTGGGGTAAAAAAGTGTGTCTTATACACCGAAAAATATGATAAATGTACTTGCAATGTGTATTATATAGTTTTCACATACAAGCCACTTTTCATAAAAGAACAATTTAAAAAAATATATATACTGGTAACTTGTGTGAAAAAGAAAAAATTACTATACTAAATAACCCACAAATTGTGGCTTTTAAACTGTTCTGTTTACCTTAGATATCATTTTTAGAAAGAAAAAACTGGTAACATAATAATTTTGTGAATATAATTCATAAAATGTATTGTCTGATGTCAAAATTTGCCTGAAGTTAGATAATAAATAAAAACAATGTATTGTACCATTAAGAAAAATATATCTAAAAAAAAAATATATATATATATATATTTTTAAGGACAATGAAAAAATATCTTGCATACAACATTTGGATAAACTTTTCTGAAAGGGCAAGCATGTTTGGTGTGACGGGGATTCAAACCCGCGACCCGTAGATTGCGAGTCGAGCACCCTTAACCACCTGGCCATACTGGGCCAGACCTTGTTTTTAATAATTACTATGTAAATTCTTGATATCATACTACAAAGTAACATTGAAGTACTAAGCATAAAAAATATTTGTGGATACATATATATATGTGTGTAATGGGAAAAGAAACTTACCAGCACTTGATTCACTAGCACATGGCTGCAAAAAATAATGAAATTTATAAATATCAAAAAAGTATAGCATTTATTGAATTTTTTTTATTATTATTTAAACTTAAATTATTTTTCATTTATAACAATTGTACATAAAATTTATGTAAAGTTGAATCTAATAGACTTATAATTCTTATGTAAGCCTCAGTAAAGCCAAGTACAAAAAACACAGAACAGTATTGAAACATTCATCAAGTAATTTGATCATTTTCTGGGAAGGTCTGATATACCAAATGATTTAAATGGACTTATTACAGAGTTTGTGGCTATCTTCTTTATTGTAACTAACCTTTTTTGAGCAAAATGAAAAGTTTAGAATTATACATTTTCACTGAAGAAAATTTCTAAAACAATATCCATTTTTAATAACATGCAAATAAAAATAGTTTGATTTCAGTGACAAAAATCTGAAACATCCATATTTATTTATCAAATCTGGAATGTGTACTAAAGAGAGAAAAGTATATTACAAGACTAACTAACCAAATTTAACTTCTTCAGTAAAACCAAGTGTGGGTCAAATTAGAAGATGCTTTTCTTACATCTTTTCCTTGTAAAAAAAATAGTTGAGCAGATATATTAAATACATAAATCCTTAAAATTGTTATAATCTATTTAATGATGCTCAGAGAAAATAAAATATGTACACACACAGTTAAATTTTTAACTTTTAAAAATTTAACAAATTTCATTTTAATTTTCAAAAACTTTTGATTATAGCTAATGAAATTATCAAACCCATAGTGAATCAACTCTTTTCTCTGATTTTTGGACCCTCAAGGAGGAGGAGTATGAAATAGATGTTCTTCCACAGGGTTACCAAATGTTTTTATTTCAAGAATACCAAATGTTTTTATTTCTTGCTTTGGAAGTTCATATGTTATGCTGTGTTGTGACCCAAAGACTGCATAATTCGTTTCATGATTCCTGGCACGTGCATGTTTCATTGATGTCACGAGAGCACAAATTCTAATGTTAAGCATCCCTTATTGGCTGTCATTTTAGTTTCTACTGAATAACTAATTGACAACTCACTACTGTATAGTCCTGCAAGTGGTTAAAAAAAAGGTGACTCTCTCCAAATGGCCTTTGGCCACTTTTGGGGAAATAAACCCCCAAAATTCTATTAACAGATTTGTCTTAAACTCTCATAAATTAGTCACTTGGTGTATATCCTATATAAGATCAAAAACTATTCAGATTTTTAATGCCTTTCATTGAGATTATAATCTTTAATTTTTGACAACACAAGAGCAGTGGAAAATGCTTTGCCAACTACTAATGCTATATGTAATTACACGAATGACCCCTGCAGTTAAAATTCAACACGTTTTTCCAACAATGTGAGACAGGCAACAATATCTTAAATGAGAAACGTCTTCACCACTGATGCTCAAGATATCCCTTGTCTGCAGCTGGGTTGCATCCCTAAAATGTTAAATGTGTCTTTAAGTTGAGTTTGGTATCTAACAAAACCTAGAAACCAAAGAATCAAAAGAACATGTGCATTAAAGCAAACACATATTTTTTGGCTTTGTACTGGCAATACTAGTCATTCATAGGAAAGTAACCAGACATATAATCTATCCACATTGTAAGATTTAGAGCTTGACTGAATCTTGGCTTGGTTAACACCACTTGCACATAGACCAAAACTGTACAGCTTCCATCATCTTCCAGTTACTTTCCAGGGTATGGTTTCACTTGGTGCATGCCAAGGACCAAAACTGTACAGCTTCCATCATCTTCCAGTTACTTTCCAGGGTATGGTTTCACTTGGTGCATGCCAAGGACCCAAACCCTTAACCCTTTTACACTTTGTGAGTGATGGGAACTTTGAGAAGTCAATTATCTGCTTTTTTATCCATCTTCATCTACATAGCTTCACAAAGGTTTTGAAGTTTGAAAAAGTTTTGGTAACAACTGAATGATTTCTCTGTATATGGCTGATAAACATTCTCTGTGTAGTAATGTTAGATTTCAGTCTACAATAGTGACACAAGTTGTATCTGAATATTCATAAAGCAGTTAAAATATCCAAAATCTTACCTGATCCAAAAATGTCAGAAATATTTATTAAATGCATACTTGAATTCAACTGGATGCTAACAGCGTTTTTTGAACCTAAAAATCTGCACCAATTTAGAACCTTACTAACTTTCTCTACAGTATGATTCAAGATAGTTTTCAGTTATGTACAGTACTTTTAACTACTGTTATTACCCGACACTGTAAAATAATTATATAAAAATTTAGAACAAGAAATTTTATGTAATATTAAACCTACCTCAGCCATTGTCAGGTGCTCTTCAAATAAAACACCCCTCCACTCTTTTCAACTATAATGTAAAATAACATTTTAAAAATTAAAATATCTTTCACCACCGACTACATCAAATTTAAATTCTGAAAATAATAAAAACAACAACCATGTACATTAAAAATACCCATGCCTACAAGAAATTTCACCTGCTTTGAAAAGAACTTACAGCACAAAACCAATTTGCAAAATAGGAAAAAAATATATGTATTATATATTTGTATATAGATAACTATGTAAACATATATTTCTCAAAGATCAACAACAAACAAGATATTGGAGCTACTGAAAATAAGCATGTCTTCTATAGACAATTAATAACTTAATTTTAAACAAATATAACATTTTTGCTTCATCCAGTGTTTCATTAATAAGTTATCAAACCACTTGATTTGACATCGTACAAACAAAACAACAAGGAAAATGCTTCAAAATATTTTTGAGTTCAAATTGTTGAAAAAGACTTAGAATTAACATATACAACTGACTTAAAAATTTGTGGGAAAAAATATGGAATGCCAAAGGAAATCCCACCTTTGTTACTTTCTTAATCTTAATGTACCATACACATAAAGCAGTACAACACCTGTAGCAAGCTGACAATACAATTATTAGTGTTTGGTGGGTTTCTCCCTACATATTTTGACAATATTACTGTACTAAAACTACTGAATATTTGTTGATGAAAATTAAAAAAATATTACTTTGTGACATTTTCAAACAGTTTCATTTATACAGTAAATAACTCTATTACCTTAATAAAGTCTCACAAATAAAAGATTTAAGAAAAAACATAACTAGTTTCGACCACAAACCTACATCAGGTATCACGTAATTGAGTGTCTTTCATTGTTGGATATACAATTATTTTTCAGAACATGTCTAAGAATATATGAAATTTGACCAACAATAAAAAACTAGAAGAAATATCAAAGCTCATTAGATATAGTACTTAAACATTTTTTTTTGAATATAAATAGAAAAAATTTCTAAAAACCTTTCTGGTGTGCCACGTTACTTGTTAAAGATAGGGGAGATTAAGATTATTATGGGTATAAAACCAGTCAATATTTTGTACACAACAATATTCCAGTGCAAAGTGAGCCAAAAATTTATTATTTTGAATCTTCAAAATGCCAATTCGACACGTTTCTATTTTTATTATGTTAATTTGTCATTATACACTATGAAGACTATATTGCAATTGCAGCCTATTGATACACAATCAAATCTGCTTTCATTTTTCAGTGCTTCCTATCTAGCTAGGATTAATTAATTAATTAATTCATAATTAAACAGAGGACATGTTCATGTAAATACATTCATGAATTAATGTGTTATAGTTAAACTGTTAGTCTGTGTACACTAATTTCTCACAAACACAGTTAAATGAGCAAGTTATTCAGCAATCAACATTTTCTTTCAGTAAATATAGAATAATGAATATTAATTTGCCATAATTTATTTTTATTAAAACAAAGTAAGACAGGTTACAGGTGACTTGTAATAAACAAGCAATAAATTAAGTTAAAGCTACACTATTGTTTAGTATAGGTAACCACAAACAACGTGCATCACTATGGTTATTTTTGTATCTAATGGCCAGAACCACAACCTCACATTTGTGAGATGAGTAAAAGCAGAACACATTAACAGTGTTGTGCACAATTGCAACAATGGAAGAAGTACTAGTTATAAATAACATGATGTGTATGAGTACAATTGACATGTACCTGATATTGAATAAATTTGTTTCAGTTAGCCAAAGCTACTAAAGGTATCTGCTGCCATTCTTATATTTGAACTGCCAATCAGAAGGACGTGAATTGGCCAGTAAGCACTCAATGCCAACTCTTGAGTTATTTTTCACCAATGAATAAGATTGATCATTACATTATAATGCTCCCTAGCCATCATGGACTAGTGGTTACCTTGTGAATTTAATACCAAATGTTATCAAACATGTTCAACTTTTCAGCCTTAGGGTTATTATAATGTAACAGGTGGTCCCACTAATTAATGATAAAGGTGTAGACAAAGAGCTGGTGGTGGATGCTGCTAGCCTGTTGTCTTCTCTCTAAATTGGCAGCTCAAAATTAGGAAAAGTGGCTGATAGCCTTAGTAGTTTTGCCATAACTCAAAAGTGTACAAATATAATGCCCCCAAGACTGAAAGGGAGAACATGTTTGGTGGTAATGGGAATCAAACCAAAAACCCTCAAATGAAAATGCAACTATCCTAATTATGCACTATGCCAGCCCAAAGCTGACATAACTTGATTTAATCAAAATAGTATTGAGAAATCATAATGGCAATATTTTTATTACTTGAATATTTGGAATAAACAAAAACAGTAATAATTTGAAATAATAATTTCAATAAGTTTTTGAGAGTAGTCAATCTAATTGTATCTCTGATCAACTGATCATCATATATGACAGAAATGAATGTTAATGATGGCTATAGGCAATCAATTATACTGACTGAGTTAATGTCCCAGCTCTCTCTGTATAAACATCATTAACCCTTTCACTGCTTGACATATCATATGATGTTTTCCTAGTTAACTGCTCCACACATAATAAATGATTTAGGTCTTCCCATAACCATTTGACATCCCAACTGATATTTGGTTGTACCAGTGACCCACAGATGTCATCTCAATGCCTATATACATAACAGGAAAGATTGTATATAGTGGAAATATTATACATTTATACAGTAGTTTTAGTGACTTATATTAGTGTGCTAAGTGTAATATTTGTACAATATAGTCATATTACTTGCAATCACTAACTTGCCAGTGCATAAGATAAGAGAGAAGTGCGATACCACACCTGGAAGAAACAAACAAGTCCTGCTCGCCTTTCCGTCTTGTGATCAGTGAATGTTACTCCACAGCCAACTGACCCCCCATTCCCTCTTCACTTGGCACACCACCAGGCCTACACAGAGTTCATTATATGACCTTTTGATGTTTATACTTTACTTTAGCATACTTTACTAAAATTTTGTAAGGTAAAAAAATTTTTAAACTTTTATATAGGTGGGTTTGTTACCCTACCCTCGTAGTCTACGTAGTAGGGTAAGTAAAGTAAAGGTAAGTACGTAACGTTACCGTAAA